GGGTCACAGCAGGCCCAAGAGCCCTCTGTTTGCAAACTTAGAAGCTGCTCATTGCAAGCTGAGTAGCAGAACCAAAACCAAGTTGGAAGCATGTGTAATGCTGATGGCGAGTCAGTTCTGTCCACATGCTGTAAAGAAGTGAGGTCTGAATAGGAAATAAAGCACTCAAGTAAGTCAGTGCCCAATAAATTGAAAAGCATTTGAGGAATCCAGTCTGGGCCTAGCTTGTATATACAAGAACCTTAAAATCTATTTAGGTAACAAGGCATCAAAGCCTGAAAAGTTTAAAAATTCAAGAGTTCTAGCCTATTCCTCCAGGCTACTCCCACACATTACCATACCAGATTCTTGTTACTACACAAACTCAGATTCTGATCCCACAGTTAACCAGGGAATGGAATTGTTAGTCTAATCAGACTATTCCCAGTTCTGGGAAGCTGCCTCAACTTGTAAAACAAACTTATTATTCCAAATATCTGAATACAGAAAAGATTCATCTTGAAAACACTATCAAATATAATTTTTCCTTTTTAAAAAAGAGTACTCACATATACAGTCAGATCCACAAATTGGCCTTTGTAAATTCCAGCAGGACCGCTATCCCATGAATTCAATGCTCTTATTTCTCATTCATTCCAACCCCTGAACACACTATACGTCCTCATTACTAGACAAGTCTTTCCCTTATTCACTTCATCCTCAGTGAATACACACACACACACACAGTCAGCCCTCCACATCCATGCATTCTGCATCTGTGGATTCAACCAACAACAGATCAAAAATATTTAGGAAAAAAACTATCTGTACTGGACAAATACACACCATTTTCTTGTCACTATTTCCGAAACAGTATAACAATTTTTAAATAGCTTTTACATTGTATTAAGTATTATAAATAATCTAGAGATGACTTAAAATAAACAGGAGGATGTGTATAGATTACATGCAAACACTGCAGCAGTTTATATCAGGAACTTGAGCATCTGCAGATTTTGGTATCCAAGAGAAGTCCTGGAACCAAACCCCTGTGGATACTAAGGGACAATTGTCTATATAAAATGAATATTCACTTTAAGCAATTATTTGAGCAGCTTCTATAGGAAGAATTCCTTATGGGTAGGAGTAGAGGGTAGGAGTAGGAGTATTCCTAATGGCACTAAAAGGTCAATAAATACTCTGACAAATTCCATACTTTTGTTTGTTTGTTTGTTTTAATAAGAAAAGGCCAGAAATGTCAAAATTCAATTGAAAACCAATGTGTAATAAATTCACTTTCTGTAAATCAGTGAAAGATGCTTAAAAGGTTTGAACCCCTGGATGGCAAGGTTTTAAGCCCTGTACTTCATAATAATAATCCCATTAACAAATAACATGTATTGTGCTTAATAACAGGTTGGTGTATAGATATCTAAGACACAGTATCTGCCATCAAAAGAGTTTAAAATCCAATGAGTTCAGCAGTATGAAAAAACTAGAGGAGTAGATTAGTGATTCTCAACCTTGGCTGGGCATCAGAATCACCTGGAGTGCTCTTTAAAATACCTATGCCCAGGACCCACTCCTAACCCAATGAATGAGAATCTTGGAGAAAGGGACACAGGCAATTCTAATGTTTAAAATGTTAAATGTGAAAATTAGAGGTGACTGATGTTCAGCCAGGGTTGAGAGTCCCTGCAGGATACAGCTCAATTACCCATTCACCTGTGACACATAATTTTGATGATAAATTTAACTAATTACTCAATGATTCCCACCATGCGTACATAAGAAGACAATCACTTCTCCACTAACAACTTCACTAAATTGGATTTGGAGGCTGGGACACTGATAAAGTGTCAGGATTCGGAGATAAGCAATCCCACAGTTCTCACCTCTCAGTCCACCACCTTTCCAATGGAGTTCATCAAATGGCGGCAAGAACCTCAAAGGCCCAGACTTCAGAAGGTAATTAAAGCCTTTTCAAAAGCTCCCCCTGTATCTTCAGGATCCATTCTCTGGCCTTATCTGATATTGATTCAGGGGGCTCCCAACATTCCACAAATACGTCTTCTTTGTTCTCAACAGGCAGTGGTTACTTCTCAGATGCTGTGCAAGAAATCTAGAATGGGCTTCACTTACTTTCCAAACTTTAGAAACCTCAACTTCCATCCTCAATCTTGAAACCTGTCTTTCTCCCATCTAAATGACTCAGTGCCTCAGAAAATAATGGACTTACTTTACATTCATGTTCCCACCAAATTTGTTTCTTTATAGCACTCCCCACCTGGATGTCTAAGATCTTGCCCATTTTCCCATTTGTAGTTAGACCGAGGAATATTTTCCACAGTTGATTTGTAAATCCTACAATATTTGCCTCGGAAACTAGATTTTCTACATGTAGACCTCATAAAATATATAATTAAGAGAAACTTGTGGATGTCCCATCACTATTCAAGAAGCAAAATTGCTATTTTTAGGTTGATATGGCAGTTAGTAGATAGAAATGTCTTTTTAAAACAAGAACTAAAAATAATATGGATAAATTCCAATTCATAACAACATATATAGTACTAGGCTATGCAGTTTATGGCTGAGAGCAAACATCTAGAGAGACAGTTCCTGGTTTCTAAACCCAAATCTACCACTTACTTGTCATGTCTATGTCTCTTTTTCCCCCGATTTGTAAATCGGGATAATAATAGTACCTACCTCCTAAGGTCTTTGGGAGAAATAAGTCATAAGCATAAAGCTCCTAAAACAGGGACCCTGCACAGAATAAGCACAATACATGTTATTTGTTAGTGTGATTATTATTACGAAGTGCAGGGCTTAACACCTTGCTGTCCAGGGATACAAACCTTTTAGGTGTCTTTCACTGATTTACAGAAAGTGAATTTATTACACATTGTTTTTCAAATTGAATTTTGACATTTTGGCCTTTTCTCATTGAAAAAAATAAAAGCATGGAATTTGTTAGAATATTTATTGACCTTTTAGTGCCATTATGAATACCATTTAATATTAGTTAAATCTTGGTAGGATTACAATATTATTTAAAATGAAACTATGGGAGAAGAATACTTGGGGAGGGGGAAAAATCATCACTACTTCTTAAAATGAAATTTCAAAAGTGAAAAAAAGAGGAAGGATTCATACACTGCAGGTGACCTTTAAATGTCACATTCACTAATATATAAATGTAAACAGAAAAATATAAGTCTGGTAATAATAGTAAACTGATCGATGCAATTACATTGTTCTGTGGTAAGTTACGTTTCCATTCCAGAATATCAATAGTTTTTTAACACCTTTTAAGATCAAATTATAGTGCATTAAATATCAGCTGGTTAGTTATCTTCATGTTATGTACAAGCTTGTAGTTTCTCTCTTACTTGGACAGCCCCCTGTACTAAACTTCGAAATATACAAGATTTGAGGGCATAAATTATTTAATAGTTAAAAGGTAACTTCAATTCTGTAAGACAATCCTTCAGTGAGATCTATTTCAATCTGTCTGGAGTAATGTTGTTACTATTAACCTTAGCTCACTTTCAAAAGTTAGTGAAATACAATTTAATAGAAAATCGGTTACTTGTTTAAATCTCAGTTAACTCAATTACATGATTTAAACAGCAAACACTATTTTAACAATGGCAAACACACATATACACACACACATGCACACACTGCAGATTTTCACTTAGCTTTCTAAGCCACTTTAATATTTTCCCTCCTCTACCTCAATTCCATCAGTAAACAGTTCTTTAGGGGTTATATTTAATATATTAATAGACCTTTCATTGTACTCTCCTCCAGTTCTTGAGAATCCAAAGCAATATACACATATTTATCCAGAGCTGAATTTTTTTCTGTATAATAATTCTTAATGGAGGCAAAGAGGGTGCAAGTATTTTCTTAAACCCCTAAGCTAAATACTTGTAAGAAACAATTATTTTTATGCTTTGGATAACCGATAAGAAGTTAAAGGAAATGAAAACTTACATTTTTCCATCACTAGATTGACTAACCCACTATTTTAGTCACATGGCATGAGACCAAATATTAAGAGAACAATTGACCCCTAAAACAAGAATTTGTGACTTGCTCTGTTTGAGGAAGATTTGGGACATACAAAATGTTCCATGTGAAGATTCAAAAAATTAAAAGGTTATTCAATGCCTTCATTTAAAAGTTTCATTGAGGAAGTCCCAGAGGCCCAATGTTACCCAAATACTTGATGTAAGTTCTACTGCCAGATATTTTCTCAACATGTATTGAACACTTTAAAACAACTGTCAATTTCTACTTGTTCCTGACTTCAGCTACAGAGCTAGGGACGTCTTTCTCATTTTAATAATCACTCAGGACCTGACAACAGCCCACACACATAGTAAATGCTCAGAGAATCTGTGACAAACTGAAAACACTCAAAATGTAGACAGGCTGGCTAAGCAAACAGCGTTCTCCCACCTGAGTTCCTGCCCAAGTTACTGAGACAGGGCAGCTCACATGGCTGAAACTCCAAAGGCCCTATCAGTTGTAACTTCCGAGTATGTGTCACTTGCACAGTCAACTTTCTAACTCCAAGGAGCCTAAGTGAGGCGGGCCTTAATGGGTCAAAAATCACACTTAGGTGAGCAGCACTTTCTAAGACGTTCCCTCAAACGAGTTCTAAACCAGAGCTCCTCAAACTTCAGTGGGCATTCCAATCACCTGGGGGTCTCCTTAAAGAGCAGATCCCGAGTCAGTGGGTTTGGAGTAAGTCCCCGTATTGTGCAGTTCTAAGGAGCTCCCAAGAGAATCCAATGCTGCGGGTCCACCCACGACCCTCGGAGCTCAAGGCCCACAAATGCCCAAAGCCACCCAGATGACTACTATTAGCAATCGACAACAACTTCAGCTACAGGCAGTGCCCCATAATCCCCTGGGTTTTCTGCATCCCCTGAGTGTGGCCGCCGGGTCGCACCTGGCAGGTGCCTTGACTGCAGCCGCGCCCCCCTCCTCCGCGCCGCGCTCACCTTCTCCCGGGTCTTCAGGTACCGCTGCAGCGCCTGCTGGGTGAGCTCGCCGACGCGCAGCTGGCCCTCCTTGCAGGGCACCACGATGCCCGTCCTGCCGAAGCACACGGTCACTTTCATCCTGGCCCCCGGCGACCACGCCGGGCCGGGCCGAACAGGTGTCAGACCCCGCGGGCGCAGCCCCTACTCTCGGAGGACGCCCGGGGCCCGGGGCGGGTGGGCCCGGAGACCCGGGGCGCCGCTCCCCGGAGCACCCTGAGGCCCGGGGGCTCGCAGCAGCGCCCCTTTCACCCGGGCAGGTGGCGGGAACCGGGGAGGAGCGGCCGTGGAAAGGGGTTACCTCCCAGGTGCCCGGCGGCCCGGGACGCGGCGGCTCCGCGGCCCGGCTCCTCCTCCTCCTCCTCCCGCTCCTGCTCCTACTCCTGCCCGGCCCAGGCGGCTGCTCCGCGCCCACCAAAGCGGAACTGCCGGCCCTGCCCTGTCGCTGGCCGTGGCCCTGGCCCTGGCGGTGGTGGCAGGGCCGGCCCCAGGCCCCGGGCTGGAGTGGGCGGCGGCGGCGTCGCGCGGGGCCGGAGTTAGGAGGAAACTTTTGCGCCGGCTCCCAACTCCTCCGCGGCGCCCGCGCTCTGGGCTCCCGCGGTCCCGGGGCCGGCCTGGGCCCGGCTCTTAAAGGGGCCGCGGCGCTCCCGGGCCCCGCCACGAGCTGGGCGACGCCGTGCCGCGGCCCTGCGGGCTGGTAACTGGAGCCCGGGAGCCTCGTCTCATCACCTGGGTCTCTCCCTGGCTCTCTCCCTCTCGCACGCATGCACACGGAGCTCTGGGGAGTTGTAAGGGGATCCGAGGGCTACACACTCGGGATTGAAACCGGATCTCAGAAAGAACACCCGAGGGAATAGCGAGGAGACTGCAGAGCTGCACCCTTTACAGGAGGGGACTGCAGCAAGATGCAAAAGGAGCCCAGGAGCAGGTGCTTCTCGTCACGCCCGCCAAACACCCAAGGGGTGAGGCTGCCAGGTGCTGAGATGCAAGCGTGGCCCGAGGAGCCTAAGAGAGGCGGGCCTTAATGGATCAAAAATCACACTTAGGTGAGCAGCACTTTTTAAGACGTTCCTTCAAACAAGTTCTAAACCAGTGTTCCTCAAACTTAAGTGGGCATTCCAATCACCTGGGGAACTCGCCTTAAGCACAGCCCTTGCCGCTGCCCTAAGCAGCCCTGGGATAGTAGAGCTGAAGGGAACCTTGGAGAGAACGTGGCAGTGGAACCTTTTCCGTTTACAGACCCTCGAGGACACTGAGTATTCGGCCAAAGGTCACACCCAAGACCCAGATATGATTGCGTGTGTTGACACATAGCCTTCTGGAATGCGACTACCGTTGTGCATTTTCTTAGGGAAAAAAAGTTAACACCTTTAGGCTCATGATTTGGCAGGTGTGTATCCATCACCAATTGAAATGGGAATATGTGGGGGAAACCAACAAACTACATTTGTTTCATTCTTACCTCTCATGTAAATGAGCTCCTTTGAGCTTAACAACTACCGTGTAGGTAGATATTATTCTTCGCATCTTGTGCATCAAGAATGGTGCTCGGAGAGGTCAAGAGACTGAGCAGACCATGGTGTTAGTTCTGTTGAAAAGAACTCAGGTCTTCCGAGCTCAATCTCTGGTCTCTCCCTGCAGTTTTCTTAGCCATCCAGTTCATCCAGCAAGACCCTCGGGGCTGCATCATGTGTTTCTCTACAGAAGGATTTGCTCCTATGTGAGCACACTTAAATAGAACTTGAATTGCCTAGGATGGTATGATAATGCACAGGAGATTAAATTCATGGGTTTCAAGAGGGTTTTTAAAAAAATAAATTTTAGCTCATTCATACATCCAGTAAGTATATATTGGTTGTCTTCTATGTATAGAAGGTCAGTGGCAACCAAGAGGATCATGTAAACCAAGTCCGTTGTAAATGGTTGTAAATCCAATACAAACTAATTTATCTTTAAATAAACCAAGGACAGAATTGATCACCTCATGAAATCAGAAGATCCAGAGAGCACTCCGTTGAGACAAGGTTGAAAGCAGGAACACAAACCATGTCCTCAGGGGCCAGCTAGCTCTCTCCAGCTCTTGGCTCTAGCTGTCCCTCAGTGTGGTCTCCTTTCTGAGGCCAGCTCTCTTCAAAGGAGACACTTTATCCTCTTTTTAGAGATGAGGAGCTGAGGCCAAAGGAGGTTAAATGATTTGGTTGAAATCTCATTCTTAGAAAGTAGCAGAGGCTGGCTTAAAACCCACGTCATCTGATTCCAGTCTTCATCGTAACTGCAGTGCTATTTCTTACATGAGAAGTACCAATGAGTAAATCAAACAAACAAATAGATACTGGTGCCATGCATTAATGTGTGGCCCTCACTTTTAATATTGGGTATTATATGGACCTATAGAATGGTATGGAGCAAAGATTTTCCACTGATGAAATAACTTTGCATGTTGCCATCCTTCCTGCTTCATGGCTTTTTGCTTTACAGTTGCTCCAGACTCATTTTCTGCTGCTTGGGTCATGAATAGCTCCCTTCTCCTCTCCACAGATTCCCTCTTAGCCCAGCTTTAGCTCCTTCCCAATATCTAGAACCCCCCACCCAAAGTCCTGGCTTTGAGAATCTCCAAGTGAACCATAAAGAACACTCTAGCTCTCCCAATTCCACTTGGGAAGTTAGAATCGGGACCTAGGGGATGCAGCAGAGGCCATGCCATTGTGAGATGAAGGAAGAGATGACTCTTGACAAGGATATGATCAGTGCATTGTGCAATTCTGCACACCACTGGGTGACCTTTTATAGTCCTAAGTTAGTATGAAGAGTTTAGTGTTTACATTTCGTGTTTATTAAATAGCCAGGTTTAATTTGTTATTCAGCCTCATCACAGCATATATAGAAACAATTTATCATATATTATCAAGGGATTAAAAAAAAGAACACAACTGCAACACACAGTCATTCATGCCCAGCAAATTCCTAAATCAATATTTTATGCCCCATGGGACTTCCTGGGCAGAAGACAATAAATAATTTGCCTTGATTGAGTAACACTAGAGGATCCCAAGCCTGGGTTCCATTTTCTTGTTTTGCCTGCTCGGTGGATAAATATTGCCTGTGATGTGATATTTTTCCATTTGTTATCCAACAGCTTAGCAAGTACTGGAGTAGCCAGTAAAGAAGTGTTATACAGAGAAAGAACAATAATCCTGATCAATATTATTAAACCGCCCTGCCTTGAGGAAGTGTAACTAAAATGTCAGGTACTATCAGGTGTACAGTGAATGAAGAATGATATTTTATCTATAGGTAACCGGTAATCGAGTCTCATGTCTTGTACTGTTAAACAAAATATTTTTACCTTTCAAGGAATTATTTATAGCAAGTACTATTTATCACATAAAAAATGAATCTATTTTACTAATTACCTTACTTCTAAAGCCCTTGGAGCATTAGTATAAAAGATCGCATTCTTTGCTTCCTTCTGAAAGCAGGTGCAAGAATGATTGCATAAAAAAAGAAAGAGAAAAATGGGTATTAGTTTTCATTTATTTCCCATTTATATTTAAAAGCAAATGGTCTGCGTTATTGTTTAACTGGACACGAATGGATTCTTCTTTAGAGCTGTCTGTCACTGAATACTGCCTGGCATGCATTTGTTGACATTTTTGGTTATTTATTTCTGTAGCTCTCCTGGATGCACAAATAACAATGCTCTTCACCCTAAGGGGAATATTATGGGCCACTGGCTTTTTGGAAGGTCCATCTTTTTGCCTATCCTATAAGCAAGACTCACAAGTCTTCACAAATGATACAGCTGTATCACCCCTTCTTATATTGAATTCTACTCTGTAGAAACTAATATTCTCCCTAAGTTTGTTTTCTTGAAAAGAAGCTGAATCATGAAATGAGCATCTCTTAAAAAAAATAAAATGAACAACCAAAAGCAAGGAAACTGTTCTGATGCTGTTATATTTAGTTAATTTTGATTATTAGTTAGATGTTTTCCTCATTGTGTGATCTCCTTCTCTGAGGCTCACTGGGGCCCATTAACGGTAAGCACAGGAATAGGCCCTACTGTGGATAGGACCAGGTCCTTTCACCTTTAGGCGTCTGTAGAAGACTGTTAGGAAGAGGGCCAATAGCAGTGGTCATGGGTGCTCTCCAACAAGCTCAGCTGTCCAAAGATAGCTTTGAGGTAAGGGTACAACCAAGAGTTCTCTTTTCAATTCTCCTTACTTTACTGAAGGCCACTTTCTGACTCTCATTTATATCCTGTTACTTGGAGAGGAAGTGAACGGGCATCCATGTAATTGACAGAAGGTAGAGAGAGATTTGGCCCTGGACGTTTCAGTGTTTAAATCAGGTATGCACCGTGATAAGCTAAGTAATCTTAGGCACATGTCACTTTCCTTTTTTGTAAAATGGGATGATAACTCTATTTTAAGATGTAACACACATAAAGCACTCAACACATAATAGGCAAGATATATTGCCCTCCTTCAACTTTTTTTCCATTTACTAGCATTTCTAAATGTCACTTATTTTCATTGAGTCTGAAACTACTTCCAAAGTGAAACAATTCAAATGATACGTAGAAACTATACACATCAACTACACAACTTCTAGAGACAAAGTGTAACTAGCTCTGTAATGAGGGTGCCAGGATCATAGCAAAACTAAAGTTAAGATGTGTATTCTAGTTCACAATCTACATATTATTTCATCTGCTGCTCAAAAAACAATCCTGAAACATTTAATCTAGTATCTGAGAATCACAGAATTACAGAGCTGAATGGGGCCTTGGAGATTACCTGATACAATATCCTCAGTTTGTAGATGAGGAACCTGAACTAGAAAAGTCAATGAAACTGGTTCAGCCAGAATCAGAACCCAGAACATCTGGATCATAGTGCAGTGCTTTCTTCACTTCCCTGTCTGCCTGGTAATAGAATTTGTAACATTAGATATTTGACCAACATTGGTTCAAGGCTTTCTGGTTTGTTGTTGTTTTGTTGTTGTTGTTGTTGTTGTTTTTGAGACAGAGTCCCGCTCTGTTGCACAGGCTAGAGTGCGGTGGCGCAATCCCGGCTCACTGCAGCCTCTGCCTCCTGCGTTCAAGCAATTCTCCTGCCTCAGCCTCTCAAGTAGCTGGGATTACAGGTGTGCGCCACCACACATGGCTAATCTTTGTATTTTTAGTAGAGACAGGTTTTCGCCATGTTGACCAGGCTGGTCTTGAACTCCTGACTTCAAGTGATCCACCTGCCTCAGCCTCCCAAAGTGCTGGGATTATAGGTGT